CTCCGCAGCCGGGGCGAGGGGGTAGGGGAGGAAGAGGAAGGCGGCGGGGAGGAAAAAGAGGGGGGAAAACAGGGCTGAGCTTTGCGGAACCGTCAAGGTGGGCGGCCGCGCCATCAGGCTTTTTGGAGGGTCTTAAAACACAGACTCCTTCCCCCCCGCCCAAAATAAATAAGTGTTAATACCGCATTCCCAGAATATAAAGCCAGGAGGAGCTGTGGTAGCGCTAGCCCCAGGCCGAGTCACAAAAGCTGCTCGGGCAGACTCACAGGTAACGGTTCCCGAAGAGCAGGTGTGAAAGCGGTGGGTAGCAAAGCACTAATGCTCTTAACTGTATGGTCATGGATGCCAGGAGAGGACGCAGGGCAGGGGAAGCAGTCGGACCCAAACACGCTTCTTGGGTAGCTCCTGCTCTTGCTGCTGGGGAATAAACACAGAGCCAGGTGCACTATTGATCTCACTGTCGATGCTTCAGGGGAGGCAGGAATTCATGAAGGTTTCTTCTTGTTTGTTTGCTGTAGGCAGAGGTTTAATGCTGACCTGTGAAGATACACTTGCACTGCCCAGACAAAGCAGTTCTGAATAGTAGTTAAATGAGTTCTGGTAGCATTGCAAGGAGTATAGGGCTCACAGCTCTTTAAACAGGTTGAATGGTCCATCAGCAAAGATCTTAAAAACAGGTAGTTATGTGAAGTATGCTGCATTAAGGCAGAGGAAAGTTGATCAATGACATCTGTCAGTGAAGGATTTTTAAAAGTCATATGTAGTTATTTACAGAAAAGCTATCAATCTGGATAAAGTCAGTAAGAATATGAAGAATCTTGAATGAGGGGATTCTGCTGATCCCTGTGTAAGTATGAGCCTTCCTCTGGAGGCAAATCCCTTCTCTGTAAGGGATTTGTCTGATCTTATAGAGGGGAAAACACAGAAATGTTAAGTGGAGGTAGCACAAGTCACTGACAATTTTAAGATTAAAGCAATATCTCTCTAAAGGTCCATGAAATTCTTCCATCCTTCATTTGCTTGTGTTTTACAGGGTCTTTACAATGAGGTGGTTTCCTCCTCTCTCACCTCCTGCTTTCATTCTCCCTGAGTTTCTACTATTCAGGGGTTTTGCTGGTATCTCATACAGGCTCCAGTGAGATAAGTGTGATGTTGCTACCAGGAGTCCTAATACAGATCCCTTACTGGTAGCGTCTTATCCTCTGTCTCGTAGAATATTATGAAAGAATAATCTAACATAATAGTCTGCAATATACTACTTTAATTTTAGAGTATGTCTTTGCTTCTGTTACTATTAACGTTATTTAGCTCCATAGTTTAATTCTGACATTTCATACAGTTTCTTTTAATATGTTCGTAACATTTTGAACATTGAAATCTTTTCTTTAGAGATTATGAAAACTCAGCTTCAAGCTTGCTGCAAGATCACTACCTTGATTCATCTTGGAGAAATGATAACAATATTGTAAGTAATTTTTAAATGAATGGTTCTTTTAGCAAGATGCTGATCATCTCCTTTCTTTCGCTCCATGCTCATGTTCTTTTAGATTATTGGTTAGGGCTTTCTGCAGACTATTACTTGCCTTTGCCTTTAAGTAAGTACTTATTGCTTACTTTTAGAAGCTCTTATACATTCATTTTTGAGGCTCATGTAAAATCATGGCAAAACTGAAATATTGAAAACATATTTGTACTATTTGCAGCCATGGACATTGGACAGCAGCATTAGCGAAGAAAACAGGGCTGTCATTGAGAAAATGTTGCTGGAAGAAGAGTATCCTTTTGCTGTTTGCTTGTGTATTTGTCTGTACTGTAGCTTCCTCCGACCCATCCTTAGTTTCGTTGCAGTGTATTGGCAACAGCCAAGTATAGTCACAGGTATGTAGTTTAGGCCTGGGAAACCAAATCTTTTTTAGGGAGTCAATGGAGAGAGAAAGAGACATTGAGAGGTAACAAATCCTGAGGGGAAGGGACAGGTTAAACTACAGAATTTTGATGCCTGATGTAGGTAGCATGAGTGCTGCTTTGTACTTTTTCTGCAATTTTGTTGCATGAAGAAGTTGTGAGGTTTCCTTAATGGTTTTAAAGTGCATGTCAGTCTTCAGACAATAAAGAGAGATACTATGAGAAAATGGTCTCTCAAGAACATTAAGTTCAAGAAAAAAGAGCTTGATCTGTACTCCTAACAGCAGTTACAGTAATCAAGACAGTAATATTTATAAATGTAGTTGCAATTTTATCACATAACACAATATAAGAAAAAAGTTCTTGATATAAAATATTCTAAGATTTTATTATTTTTATTATCATCTCTCTCTTGACAAAGATGGTTCGAAACTGTTGTAAAATTCATGGATGATTTTTAAGACATTTTCTGGGAAATGGAAAAGGCCAAGCTTGACATTTTTTTGGTGCCAGTCCCAGCTAAAACAACAGTGTTCATCCCCACTAGCTGCTGCTTCTGCGCCACTGCCAGCCTTGTGCTGATGCAGCCATTTACGTAGCTCCGTAGCAAACCTGATGAAAGAGCTGATCTGGCTAAAAACAACTGTTTCTTTTTGCTGCATTGTGCTCCAGCTGGACTAGTTTGCTGCCTGATTCACTCTGGCTATATACGTATTTCTGCCAGCACACAGGATGAGATGAGCAGAAGGGAAGAGAAAAGGAAGGCACTTTTTTTTTCTTTTTTTTTTTTTTTAGGAGTATTTATTTGTAAAATAGTCTTACCTTTTGTGTTGCTGATATAAATGAACCTCTGCGGACTAGCTAGGTGATGGTATTACTAATCATAAACTAATTTATTTTTCTGTTCTTTTTGCAATTGAGAATGGTAATGCATAGGGAAACAAGAAAACGAATCAGTGTTCGTTTTCCTAGTAGAAGAAATTATTAAGGGTTAAATTGAAAAACAAATAATGCAGTGATATGATGAAAATTGTTTTAGTATATTTTCTAAGTGAAAAAAAGAAGAAAGCTGTTGTGGAAACAGAATAACTAGTTTCCTCGAAGTTAAGTGAGCATGTGTTTTTTGAAGTCAAATATCATTTAATTTGTGTTAAACTAGTAGCAGTGTGTGGAAGAGTGTCTATCTTAGTTAATTTATGTGATTATTAGAATTGTCACCTGTATGAATATTTTGATGTTTCAAGATCTTAATAAAATTTTCAGATATTATCTATCTAATAAAGCAATTTCTGAAAAAGTATGGCCTAATCAAAAGGAAGCGGAAAAACGATCTGTGAGAAGGTAAGATCTATTCTGTAATAAATGAACCATGAGATTAGAGGAAAGGAAAAGTCCTTCCAACATTAAGTTTAGTTGCTTCGATATGCAACAGTATCACAATTATTAATTTTTATTTTCATTTTTGTTTTTTATTTGCAGTCCACATAAGAAAACTGGAAAAGTCATGTACGTACACTTTAATTGAATTACATTTTTAAGTGCAATTTCTGATTTATGTTAACTTACAGGACACTTGGAAAAAGGTTCGTATTTATTCTGTACTTATTTTGTTTGATTGTAGCTACAAAATAATGTAGCTTTGAACATGAAAAGCCTTGTCCTGCTTGATAAGTAGTCTATAGTCAACTAAATTGATTTTTGTCCACATCAAAAAAAAAAAAGCTAATTATTTGCTTTCTTGTCTGAACTTTTATGTTTCCTTGTTCCTTCTATGAACTTCTGCATGTTTAGTTACTAATAAATGTTGTGTTGCCTCAAATCTACCTTTGCGATGGTAGGCTGGTATGATTCTAAGTATTCTATTTATCAGCCATATTTATGTTTAAGACAGTATCCCAAGTTTTACAGAAGAGGGGTAGTAGTCATCATCCTAGACCTCACTTTTGGTTTCTGTGGTCTGAGAATATACAGTTTTTAAGAAACTACTGTTTTTTCAGGGTGCGTTCACCTACAAAATCAGCTAGCTACTCACTGAAGTGGACATCACAAGAAAAAGAACTGTTTGAGCAAGGACTGGTAAGTTTATTTAGGTCTATAATATTCTGAATTTAAGTCACTAGCTCATTTTAAGTAAAAATATTTTTATATACACTTAGCTGCTACATGTTATGCATTAAAAATATTTTCCATCTACGAAGATTGTAGCAATAAATCAGAGTTATGCAGATGCACCCCCTAAAATGGCTTCATTTGCCTACTAGATCCTGTCTGTGGGACTCATTACAATTTGAGATCACAAAATATTTCAGTTTTGCAGTGTTACGAATTGTCATGATACAATCATTATGCTGTGGTTAAAAATGTTAACTGTAGAGTCTGCTTAAAGCAAGCTATTAAAGTGAAATCCTTTACTAAGTTCTTTGGAGACGTTATACTTGACAGTGTACAACCATATATTAATAGGCCTCCAGGGTTTTCTGGTACCTGCAAAGTATCTGCTGCCAAGTCCTGCAGATAGGTCATTTCACTAGGATTCCCTGGAGCAGTGAGCAGCCCAGTTCACCGTGCATCTGAATCAAGTAAAGAAGAGTGTCTATTTAAGAGACCGTAATTTTTACTGCCTGATGTCACTTCTTTCTTGGTAAAATATGACCAGGAAGGTTCTTTATTGTGTGTTTGGCAGTATTACTGTTTGTTGGTAACGGCTAACGAATATGTAAAGACTTTTCTCAAATAAAATGCGATGTCTAGAATGTCACATGTTAGGTAATTTAAATGTGTTCTGTTGTACTAGGTGAAATTCGGGCGCCGGTGGACAAAAATTGCCAAGTTGATTGGAAGTCGAACTGTTCTACAAGTGAAGAGCTATGCTAGGCAATACTTTAAGAACAAGGTACCCATAGGGTCATTCTAGTTATGAAAATAGCTATGTGATGAGTATGCTGTTGTACATATCTCTTTACCAGGGTACTGTCATTGAACTACCTACACTCTTTTCTCTTACTCAGCAAAGAAGTGAAATACCTGCAGATTTATCTGCAGATTTATGTATGAAGTCAGACCTGGCTTAAAATTCCTACAAGGATTTTGATATTTTTATTCTTGGAATATATAAATAATATGTGTTATATAACTGGATTCCCTTACACTGTGGATTATCAGGCTGAAAATACTTGTCTTCCATTGTAGAGACACTTGAGCTGTGCAGTGTACTTCCATTTTTAGCCCCATTTGAAGCTACTGGGGTATTTAAAAAGGAATTACCTCTGTTTCTTATTGATAATAAACAGGCTTTTTCATTGAACTAGAGTACATGACGTTTTACACTTGTGCTAGAATTAAACCTATAAGGCTACTGTGTAAAAGTCCATTGCAGTTTTCGTGTTTTATAAAGTAAAATAAATATAACGAAGAAATACCTGAGAATAGTTCTCTCCATTTTTTTTTTTTTTCGAAAGTCCATTGCAATTTTAGTGTTTTATAAAGTAAAATAAATATGACAAAGAAATACCTGAGAATAGTTCTCTTGATATTTTTTTTCCTGAGATCTTGTTATGCATTACCTTTTGTCAGCCTGTCAGATACCTCCTCATGTCTCTTGTTCACATAAAACAGGTCTGACTATTTGCAGGGTAAGTGTGTAGGGGTTATTTTGCTTTTCCCTGCTGAGATTGTGTTATACTTTCTTAAGGCAAAAAATGATGAATCCGAAAAAGAAGAGCAGAGCGGATGTGGTAGCAGTCATCTTTCTGTTGAAGATGGGACTGGGGTAGAAGCATTGTCACCTGGAAACTTGAGAGGCCGTGCAGACCCCAATCTGAATGCAGTGAAAATTGAAAAATTGTCAGATGATGAAGAAGTAGACATAACTGATGACATGGATGAACTGCTTTCTCCTCCTTTTCTGCAGGAAGCTGGAAAATCTGAGCTATCTGTTCTTTCCCAAAGTCCAGCTCAAGAAATGAGAGGGAAGGGATGTGTTTTTTCATCTGTGAGACACAGTTCTGTAACTTCTGTAGTTAAAGAAGTTCCTCAACGTACCGTGCAAGACGCCATGGAAGCATTAGTATTTCCAGATGTTGCAGCAACATGTTCTCAGCACATGAATGGTGATAGATCTGTGAAAATGGATTATGAGCAATGTAATAAATCTTTTGAGAAAGCTGCACAAAGCGGAACAGTAATATCTCAAGCTAATAGGCAGGTAGCTAATCAGGAGCTCAGTGAGATACAGAGGGACTTGAATGAAAATGGATTGCTTTTCAGTTCTCCCTGCCAGGGAGATGAAGAGCATCAAGAAGAGGCAGAAGATCTTAAGCCACCTGATCAAGAAGTGGAGATTGACAGAAGTATCATTTTGGATGAAGAAAAACAAGCTATTCCTGAATTTTTTGAAGGACGTCAGGCCAAAACACCAGAGCGTTATCTGAAAATTAGAAATTATATTTTGGACCAGTGGTAAGATGCATTAATTTCGCTTATGTGATAAATGATGAAGATGATTTGAGCACTGCTTCATTGCAGCTACAATATTACTTAGCACTAATAGCTTTCTTATAAAAACAGTAAAAGAAATTTTATGGTAACATTCTTAAGATTGCAGATGAATGAATAGCACAGACTAGGAATATTTTTAATAAGTGGTTCCTCAAAGTATCTGATATCAAGTCCATAGTGATGTCTGTAGTGGTAACATGTGTCCATCTTTCTGTCTGTACAAGAATGCCTTTGCAGAGAAGCACCTAGGAAGCATAGCCTGTACTAGAGAATACAGCATTCATCAAAAAATACTTGAAACTAATTTTTGGTTTGGAACAATGCTTGTACATTTTGATATTTTATACACTACTTGCTAGGAATCAGTTTCAGGAACCTTGATGATCTGTAATCACAGCCTAAATATCTATAGAGTTTATTCTGTTACAGGTTTGTGTGCTTACTGGGTGGTTTTGGGGTGTATTTGTGTGTGTTAGTGAGAAGAATTACTGCTTTCAACTAATTGAGTTGTCTTGCAGAGCTGCTACTAGTTGCATAGAAACTCTAAAGTTCCATATCAGAAGAGATGTGGAACTGAAACAATTGAAGTAACAACTGAAGGCATGTAATAAGTGTCTAGAAATGGGGAAAAACACTCATTTATTCTACCAGGGATGCCTATGGTTACATAAGCTATTTAGATTAACTTAATGCAGACATTCTTATCTGAGTTTGGCGGAGCCATAGTACTCTCGAGTAATTCACTGCTTCCTGCTGCTGGTCATTTTCAGAAATTCATCTTGATCCACTGGATATATCTGTATCACTCTGCAGAACCCAATTATAAATTGTATGTGTTTTGTGAAAGTTGTATTTTTGCTGTGATTACTTTGTACAGGCTGTGCAAATTGTTGCATTGGGAGAAAAAAAGCACTCAGGAGGCTCATCTTTACCTTAGCTTAAGTTACACAATTTTCCCATGGTGTGTGTTGCTATTTGAACATGTGCTGTGCTTTATTTTAGGGAGAAATGCAAACCCAAATACCTGAATAAGACTTCAGTACGTCCAGGCCTTAAGAACTGTGGTGATGTTAACTGTATTGGACGGATACACACATACTTGGAATTAATAGGAGCAATTAACTTTGGCTGTGGTAAAAACAATATTTTAACTGTAATCAATTCAGAACTTTAAATTCTGAAGAGTACATGCTGAGAACATCTGTTACTGATGTCAGCTTTTCTGTTAATAATTTTAATGGAGGGTAAACATGAAGATCAGTAGCTGTCCTTTAAGAAAGTCTTAGTTTAAGTTCACTTCTCAATGTAATGTGAATGACTGCACTCAATCAGCACCAAGTCCCTGTTTGGATAATCTTACAAATTTTCTGTTCTTTTACTTGTGGTCACTTGAATAGTAATTGCTGTTTCATTTAAGTTTTTTGGATGAGAATCTGCATGCTGCATTCTACTTAGTGCAGTCATGTTCCCAGCTTAGATGGCTCTAGTCAATTTTCATACTAATGGTGAAAGACTTCTTAATGTTAGAGGGTGCTGCTCACGCAGGAGAATTGCCATTAATCTTTACTAAGAAGCTCCTTCTGAGCAGATTGTGTCTGTTATGGCATTTGGGAATCTAGAGGAGTTTGTAACCTGCTTTATAGGATTATGGGCTTCTAATCTAATTTAATTAAAAAAAATACTTTTTATCCCCCCTTTCCCCCCCTTACATTTGTGTGACCCTATATACCAGGTGCTGTTCTTCATTATGTGTTCTACATGCCCTGGGTTTTTGTTTGTTTTCCTGATGCCTGCTGTATCTGAAATTCTGTTTAGAGAAGTTAGAATTCAAATTATTGTTTCTTTTTTTCTGTTTTTCCAGGCTGAATTTTAAGTATTTATGCAATAAAACAATACCTGCTTTCTCAGGCTGTTTTGCTTACAAGATCAAATGCTAAAATCAGATCATATATTAAAATATATACCTATAGGTTAGTATCATTATCATTCAGTTTTAGAGTCTCTGTAATAGGTTGAGTTTGGTCCAGCACTGAGTGACAGTTGCCTTGGAAAGGAGAAATCTCGCCCAGTACATGCTATCTGATATATAGAGTCTTTTAGAAATAAATTAAAAAGAAAGAAATAACTTTACCACAGCGTTTTTAAAGCAGGAAATGAGAGGACAATATAGCCAGCCTGTGGTATGACCCTCAAGAGGTGCCTTTTCCTGGGGAGGGTGAAGGGATTTGGGGCTTCTCTATGGCATTTTTCCTTTCTGTTTATCCTCGTCGTTCTTGGCTCTGCACCAGACATGGGTGGCTTCCTGCTTTACTGCAGTCCTAATGTGCATCTTCTTTGTATCCCACAGAACAGGCTGTCTATAACAGACCACAGCCCGCTGACAAAACACGCTCCAAAGAAGGCAAGGACACAGTGGAAGCCTACCAACTTGCTCAGCGTTTGCAGTCAATGGTACGTCCAGGGGCAAAAACACATTCACCACGGAGATGGGCTTTTCAATTTCCTGCTTTCAAGCAAGGACATCTGAAAAAATTTCTTTGTCATTCGGTTTGTCATTTCCTCAGAAAGTTTTGTAGCTCAAGTCAGCCCACGTGCTGATTTTTCCTTTCTGACGGGTGCATCTGTCCCAGTTTGTGTTACCTTGTATGGTAACACATTTATATTATTTATATTCAGGTGCTCAGCTAAGGGTGTTTCGTTCTTTTTTGGAGCCCCGGCCCCTTCTTTCTCACCTCTTCGTAATTTATTAGCCTCATTTAGCCAGAAAATAGTGCAGTGCATTGACAGTAAGTCATTAAGTTGCTTGCATTTTAATCAGGAAGTATAGTGTATATCTGATGTAGCTCGGAGCTTTATGCGCACAATTAAGCACAGTAGTAACTCATTTCTTACTACATAAATTACCAAGGTTTGGCTGATTAATTTTTATATTAACATTTAATGTAAATTTTTTTAAGCTACTTCAGAGCAAAATAAATTGGTTAATGAAAGAAAACTAAATCAGTCCTAATGCAAAGAAAGAATTTTACATATAAAGAACTGAAGCATATACTGCCTGTATACATACTAATTTATAGCTTTCTATGTTGTCTACACTGTAATTCACAGCTATTTATTAGTGCGCCGTTGCTGTCGGATGTTGATGATCCATTGAGCATCATCCTATATTTATATTTTACAACTTGAATAAAAAATTACTGATGATATTTTGTGACAGATTGTGAGCTACTTAATTCTACAGAACTCCAGGGACATTTTCTTTTCTGGAAATACATCATAGTTAGTAATATCCACATGAAAGTAACCCTTTGGGTATTTTTCTTGTGGCAGATTAAATTAAATGAATTTAGTGTTTCAGGAGTATGATCCTTGACTCATGTTTATTGCTTGTTGCAGCGCACAAGACGACGACGAGTGCGAGACCCTTGGGGAAACTGGTGTGATGCTAAGGATTTGGAAGGACAGACATTTGAGGTAACCCTTCTGTTTTTTTAAACTGTACTTACAGAACTAATTCTCGTTAATTGCTAGCAGGTGGTGTTGCATCAAATATCCTAGGAAAATGGTTGTATAATAGGTGCCTAACCTCTCTTTGTGAAAGCAATAATTTGAAAATAATGGAGCATCTGCTACATTTTTATGCTGCTGGTAAAGAAAAGACTGTACTTTGTAAAGATGTTCATGTCATGAACACATATGGCCCTCCACTGTTTTGTGTCTGTAAAGCTCTTTGGATTGTTATATAGATTTTATGACTCTTTGTTTTCAGTTACAGAAGAATCGTTTTCATTTCATGTTAGATAAACCTTTTATATGGGGTAGGAATGGTTTAATGCAACATTAAGGTTAAAATATCAAGCTATCAGAAGTCAGGAAAAAATGGAGTGAATTCTCCCACCGATTCCTTTTAGCTGCACCTTTAAAAAATAGCCTTAGCAATTGTGCCCTTAACACAAAATCTCAGTTTTATTTAATTCAGTTTTTCTTATAATATATCTGAATCTGCCAGGGAAAAGATTAGCTCATCTTTCTTTTTTGAAAAGGAAAAAAAAAAAAGACTTCTTTAGAGGACATGTGAAAGCTAAATTAGATTACTTTCTACTGTTTATACAAAATAAATATACATATAATTCAATTACTTAGGTTAACCTATTTCTTTTAATTTGGATTTGTAGATTTAAAACAGAAGAACCTTTATAGGTACATACATATATGAGATTAATAAATAAAAGTGCAGGGCTTGTGAATCAGGTGTTGTCTAGTGCAAAAAGAATTGGCCGATTATTTGAGTCTTGAGCATGCTCTTTTACTTAGTTTACTTTAGCCTTACTAAATATTAGGAAATAAGGTTTTTTTTTCCTTTCTTTTTTTTTTTTTTCTTTTAGCACCTGTCTGCTGAAGAATTAGCAAAAAGAGAGGAAGAAAAGCTTAAACCTGCAAAATCTTCTAAAGGTTCAAGACCACTAAAAAGGTACTTGATGTACATCATGCTTAAAAGTAGACTGGAAATTAAACGGTTTGCATGGGGTTGGACTGGAACAGTGCAGAGCCTTAATGCATTCTGTGTGGCTGTAAGTCATG